AGTTCAGTTAATGACTTCATTCGATTTTGGCTGTTGGCATTTACCAAAAATTGAATATCCAAGGAATGATGGGCCGTGTATTCCAGATAAAACAATGAATCTGAATTATTTAATTGCGGCAAAAGGCACACAGCACAGCAGCTGCTGATGCTGAGAGCCAAGCTGAACCAAAGTACAGATGACTATCAAGGAACACAGCATACGTCTAACGTGTGAAACGTAGAGCAGTACTAGGAAACCCCATTTCCCAGTTTGTGAGCAGTTTCTTTAAACACCTCGGTAAGAAAATATATAGAGACCTACCACTACCTGTTCTCACAAACGACTGATATTTATAAGATGCATTTCTCTTGAAAAGAGGAAAATTCCTCCCAAGTTAGTTGTTAGTTTGAACCGCTAGCAGTTTCCTCTCTTTCTTTTCTTTTTTTTTTCTTTTCCTTTTTAATGCTGTTGTTGCTATGGTGATTTGCCCCGATCTGCAAGCAGGTACTTGCAGCACTGGTTATATTCTTACATCTTAGCTGTCAAATGGGTGCCAGGCTAGCATGTTTGGTGTGATACACTGCTATTTTTCTACTGTGAGCCACAATTCTCAGGTAAGGCAACGCTGGCAATACTGTCACGGGTTTCCTGATGTGCCTTGTCTCTCTCACTCACCAATGACAACAGTTACACCGAGATTATGTGCTCCAGAATGAAGGTTGCAGCCTACGCAAAACCTTGTGGGTTTATTGTTACTCTTCAATTTTTATGTCAATCACATGACTTTTTTTTTTTTTCCTCTTTTTTATACTTCTCCATGTCGCAAGGAAGTTACTAGCAAACTAGTGAGCATTTGGGGTACTTTGTTGTATTTTAAAGCAAAAATGTGCAGTAGCAACCCAGAGAAAAGGATATGATTTGCAGAATTGTTTTTGTAATTAACAGAGTTACATCCTAAAGCTCTGCTCAGGCACACTTTTACTGAAGTCAAAAGGCAGTTGATAGGAATGAGAATTTCTTGCCTTCTCAATTGTCAAAAATTTTGTATAGGCAGCCCCCTTAGTAATGAGTTAGGGGGGAATATTTTCAGATTTAACACTGAACTGCTGGGTAATATAAACCAAAATAGGAGAAGGCAATTTCAGGAAGCTGTACTAAACTCATTCAATTCAATACCCTTTTCATCTTGTCCACTGGCATCTGGTTGCCTACATCAAGAAAGCTTGTAGAAGAAATAGTGAATATTTGACACAGCAAAAGCGAGTTGACTTTCAGAAAACTTTTGTTGGTAATAGCCTTTAAATTACATGGAACTTTGTGGTTTAAATAGAAAAATGTACTAAGCTATTAACTATTCATTCATATACACATAGATACAGGACAGAGATGAAAGCAGAACATCAACACGACCTTTTCTTATATAAAGAAATGATGGAGAGAAGTGAGTTCTCCACGCCTTTATTCTGTTCCTTTCGAAGTGTCAAGGATGAACTGCCACCTGTGAAATTAGAAGTAGTCTTTTCAGCAGTTACTCCATCTCTGGTCTTCCTGAAACCATTCACCAACATCCTTTCTGGGCATATACTTGCAGTGAAAAACAAGAGAAAAAATAGAATCAAAAAGGACTTGCTTTACAAGCAGAAGGGAAGCAAAATGAAATTCTGTAATGCTGTTTTTTTGCAAAGAGCATCTAGTACTGTCTTTATTCAACATGTGATTGAAGTTTCTTGGACTATCTCCTAGGGCTCCATGAAGGAAGACTAAGAAAGAAAAGTGAAGTTATGAGAGGTATGCACAGAGAATAAATTGTTCATCCCTTAATCAAAGAAGCTAGAAACTTGCCAGCTGAGAAAGTGAGAAGAGACAGGAACATGCAGTCACAAACCTCCAGGCAGGTTGCAGAGTCAGAGAGTCATTCTGGTTGCAGGGAAAAACAAAGACTTCCACATAATGAGGACAGAAAGACTGGAAATGAAAACCTGAAAAAAAATCACAGAAAAACAGGTCAGTGAAAAACAGAAATATTCAGAACATCTGTGCCCTGCAGCATCCTTCCACCCTACAGTTGTTCAGGAGAAGAGACCTGTAAGATTTACTAGAGTTTTGATGTATCAGTTACAGGAATTGATTTCAGATCAGAAGGCAAAGTTCACAGGCATGCACCAAAATTAAAAGTTATATAAAATGTACAAGATACACTTGGAAAGCTGCATTTATGTGTCCTGGTTTTGGATGGCATAGAGTTAATTTTCTTCCTAGTAGCTGGCTGTGTTTTGGATTTAGGATGAGAAGAATGTCGATAACACACTGATATTTCCGTTGTTGCGAGCAGTGCTTACACCAGTCAAGGACTTTGTCAGCTTCTCCTGCTCTGCCAGGTGCACAAGATGCTGGGAGGGGGCACAGCCAGGACAGCTGACCCCAACTGGCCACAGGGCTGTTACAGACCCATATGACATCATGCTCAGGGGGAGTCAGTTGAGGGGAGAGCGATTGCTGCTCAGGACAGGCTGGGCATTGGTCAGCGGGTGGTGAGCAATTGCATTGTGCATCACTTGGTTTGTACATTTTGTATATTCTCTTACCATTATTATTACTGTTGTTATTCTTTTCCTCTGCTGTTTTATTAAACTGTCTTTATCTCAATCCATGGGTTTTTGCCTTTTTTTTCCAATTCTCTTCCACATCCCACTGAGGGAGGGGGGGAGTGAGCGAGCGGCTGGGTGGTGTTCAGCTGCCTGCTGGGTTAAACCACACATTAATAAGTAAGGAAGATTTTTTGTGCATAAGTAGCAGCCGAAGTTGGACAAAACTGCAGAGTATGAGTTAGTTTTATGGGAAGAGTTAATCAGATGCTTCATGGGAAGAGTTAATCAGATTTTGTCTGTGCAGCCATGAAACTAGTCTGAATTTTTTAAATTTTACTGAGCTGCTCATTTCCTCTGCTGTTTAAAAGAAGCTAACATCAACATTAACAAAGTTAGAAAATCCATGACTGTTAAGCTGTGGAGTGTATCTACTTAGAGCATTCTGATTAACTAGGTAAGAATCCTTTCTTGTCAAAAGCCATTGTTCTTCAACTGAATTAAGGAGCATTGTCCTTTTAATGAAGGATTATTATTTTAATGAAAGATTAATAAGGGACAACAATTGTCTTTCGAAGAAAGAAACAGCAACAGAAACTGGTATTTCGCATTTAATCAATTGCAAGTGTGCAACTATTTATGGCATTCTCTTAAGGTCATTTCCATACAAGTCAGAGACCATGTTTGCAAGCTGCACTTGTAGCCGATAATATAAAACATGCAAAAGGCAGCTGATCTTAAACTCTAGCATCACTGTCCTTAAAGAGCAGCGGATTGAGATATGGATCCGTAAAATCAAAACCATTTTGCAAGACCCACTTTTTTCTTTTACTCACTCTAATAACCTCTTGGTGCCTGTACAATTATCTATAGTTAATATAAGAACTTCAACTTTTCTCAGTTCCACATTTCAGTGGATTCTACCCTGCAATACTGACTGTCTCACTCAGGCATGATTTTTGATGTCAAGAATATGTTAAAATTGGTTTTCATAAACCTATGGTTTACGACCTGTTTGCTAGATCTTCTGAATAACTGCAGGTACAATTTAAGAATGATTTTAATTCGTGTTGGATTATGATTACATCAGTAACTGGATGTCAGAGAATTTCTGTTTACTGCTGCATTAGCTGAAAGAAAACTGAAGTGGAAAAACCCAAATGTTTTGACTTAAATCCTTGCTGACAGATGGACTTAGTCTTTAACTTACCTTCACAAAACTGTCATGTACTAGCCAAAGAGAGCTGCAGCCTTAAAAATTCGGTTGCTCAACTATGCATTGTGAAAGCTGACAAGTAACTTAGGATTTCTTTTTTCTTATATTCCATTTTAGATGTTTACTATAGTATTATATAAGCCTCTTTTATGCTGTTTCATACAAATAAATAGTTTTGCTGGGCTAACTTAGAATCCCGCTGGCACATATTTTGCTGAGTTATTGTAACTCATGTCCCGTTATTCCCAAATTAGACATCACAAGATTACCTTCAAAGTTGAGCATTAAAAGTAGATGAACACAGACTATAAAACTGGATGGCAAGAATCCTCATTGGTATTGGATGAATGAATCATATTCTAAAGCCAATAGTTTGTTGCTTATGGGCTATGCTGCTTTGCTGATAGGATTAGCAAACAAATTGATAAATAAATCTCCCTTGAAATAAGAATGCATAAAGTTACAGTAGTGTTTTATTGGTTTGTTTCTTCACTATTTTAACTTCTGAAATTTCTCAATAAGAACCTTCTGAAGGTAAAGAGAGCTTTTGTTTGGGTTTTTTTTCAGTATAATAGACTGCTCTTTATTTTAAGGTGTGTTCGTTTCAAAAAGAAGGGAATAGATTTTATGTACATACCTGTTCCAGAAAGAAAACTAGAGATAAACCCATTATTTTCACAGGGGTTGGGCATTCATTCAACCTATAGAACACCAATACGAAGAAATTATAAGAAGCATCAAGTAGGCAAGGTGTTAATGTAATATGATCAATTTCTAGATCTGTAAAGTGTAGGCTTAGTGATCTTGACAAATGTTGAAAATGGATTGGACCTTCATTGGCTTAGAGGACTTCTTTGTATAGTTGCTACTGTTTACAGAGGAATTTGCACTTTTAACCCCGAGAAATGCAGTCCTCCAGTATTCAGAAAGCCACAGCTTTCCTTGCCCTCATTGTCTCTTCTTATTTAGCATATTGTGCTAACTCTCAGTGTAAGAAACTAAGTAAATGGAGAGGACTGGGTGAGGGAAAGTTGCCAGGAGATTTTCTTGTCCATATAACAGAGTCAATATAACAGAAAAGAAGGACTCATCCTTTGGGGAGTGTGGCTCAAACTCTGTAGTCAGAATTACTTAGACTCTTAGATGAGAAGTTCATTCATACTTATATATTTCTTCCCTGTTAAAGGGAATGGACTATGAAGTACCTAGCAAGGCACAAATTTTGTAATTCATAAATACGAAATGAATTAAAAACATACAAGAATTTCTTCAAAGGGATAGATCCCAGGTAGAGAATAATAAAAAGCAATTGTGTTTTCTTTTTTTTTTTTTTCTTCTGAAGGAGGAATCTTAATGAAAGGATAAGCTGTATGGCTGATGTACCTATTTAACACCTTCACCATTCTATCTCTATTTGCTACAAGCCAAAAATGAAAAGCCAGATATCTGTAGAGTCTTTGAGATCAATACATGGCCCACAAAACAGAACTATTAACCCACATAACCCTTGGATTTCCAGTTGCTGCAAAAGCTGCAACAGTGTGGGCAGCAATCTGTGACACACAGAATTTTTGGCAAACCATAGAGGACATCCCCAAGTTCTCCCAATCAGAGTCACCCATTAGCCCAATCAATTCTTTATTGTATGTAGCAGAGCATGAAGAGTGAAATGTTTTTCCCCAAGTCAGACATAGGGAAAAATAAGTGGTTTAGGCAATGATACCACTTCCACATGTTTGGAGTTGTAATACACGTTCAGCTGAAGGTTTGCCACCCTATGTAATGTAACAGCTATCCCTTAAGCAGTCTTGTTGCCATCACAACAATAATATATATGCAGTTGCAGTGACTCATTGGCCCAAATACTGGCACTCAAATACTAACATAATGTTTCTTGTATGGAAGGTAAATGGAGCATACCTACTGTGTAAGGTCAGAAAACTGAATTAGATTCCAGGGTTCCTTATGGAGACACTGGACCAAATTAGATGTTTCCAAGTCGAAATCAGGAAAGTCTTCATGAAGAAAGGAGAGTGAACTAGTGTGAGTGAGAAGAAAGTGCTAAGCACAAGATGTATTTAATTACAACCCTTCTGAGAACTTGTGTTTTGTGAGTAAAGCTACACTTCTTACTGTCAGGATCCAGGCAGCTGGGCCTTTCTACAAGGATAATTATCCAACTGATCAGAGATGAAGCTTCTCAAAGCCCAGAAGCCACATCAAGTAGCCATTTTTCCCAGAGAATTATCCCCAAAATAGACAACCTGGGTTAAATTCCTTTTATAGTCTGCTCAGAATTCACATACTGCTACAGTATTTTAACCTTTGGCTCTCTCAGTTGAGTACAAGGAAAGAGGGAGGGACCCCTCTTAATCCAGCCGACACTGGAGCCAAAGGACAACAACCAAGAAGAGCCACTTGCTGCTCCGTGAGAAAAGTGTTCGGGTCAAAGTGGCAGCCTGGTGTTCTTGTCCCTGCTACTAAGAGTGTGTGCGCACATATGTTCACCAGTCCCTAGATAAAGAGCAGGTGTGAGACAATGTCCAGCCATAAACTGTTTCTAGAGTATGGTACATTACCCTGTGTACCCACAACACCTGTAGGGAAGACAGGATTCATATATGTAGAATAACAGAATCACAGAGTGACTGAGGTTGGAAGGGATCCCTGGAGGTCATCTGGTCCAGCCATCTTGCTCAAGCAGTTTCACCCTAAACATACTGTCTAGGACTATGTCCAGACAGCTTTTGAATACCTCCAAAGAGGGAGACTCCACAGCCTCTCTGGGCAACCTGTGTCAGTGCTCAGTCACCCTCACAGCAAAGAAGTGTTTCCTTATGTTCAGACGGAGCCTCCTACGTGTTAAAAATATATTCACCAAGTACAAAATATATCAGGTTTAGTTATATGTCAAGTTGGCTAAACCATGTAAGATTGACATCGCTGATGATTTGGTGAGAGTCCTTTATCCCAAAATGTCGATGTTAGAAAGGTTCAGAACAGTCTAGGTTCTTTCCAGTCTTCCCGCACAATAGGGTTAAGTGTTTCTAATATCCTTAAATGAAAAATGACTAAAAGGTATAAGTGTTAATTAAAAGTCTTCATCAAGTACAGAAAGTAAAGCTGAAGAAGTTTGAACAACTGTGAGTAGAAGAGAGATTAGAATAAAAACTTACATGCAATCCTATTTGCAGTAGTTACTAATACACTTCCTGATGATTAATACTATTCATCAGATTAGTCACACAGAGAATAGCAAGGAGATTTTCCTCTCAACAAAAAATTTACACATGAAAACAATCACAGACACATTCTGTATTCAGCTTTGACTAGTATCAGATAACTCAAATCTCCAGCATTTCAAACCCTATTTACTGCCAAATTTAGGATGGCTGGGGAATGTTCAGGATGAAATTCAGATCTTTGTTTTATCATTTAACATATATTATACATTTATTTGTATCTCTTATCACAGAAGAGGGAAAAATGGTAAAAAAAAATTAGGAGAGTACTTATCACAAGGAAATGAATCTGGGTTTCCTCACTGACTCATAACTTCTGAATGTATTTAATTTCAGTGGATTAATTACTCAAATCAAACTGAATGATAAACTCAGTCTGATATAAAACTGCAGAGCACACTAGTTTTTAATTTTTCTGCATTTCAGTCTTTTATAGATCTTCTCCCAAAATAGACCTACTTCATTTTCTTCTCTTTATGAGAATGTGAACAATGCTGGGGAAACAATAAATAACAGCAGCAACTGTTGCTAGATAAAGTGTCATGAGCCACCTTGCAAATAATCACCAAGATCAAATTTTCTGAAAGAATTAGACTGCAGTCTAAACACGGGCTTCAGTGACTTTGAATCTATAATTTAAAAACAAAGATAAGTGATCGCTATGATTCTTTACAAATGTCTGTCATGTTAAGTTACTCTTTCGTATGTTGGGGTATGTAATAACCCAGCATCTCATCTAAAGTCCATAAAACCCTTTGGTCAATTAGAGATGTTAAATCCTTTTCATGAATAAACAACTGCTACAGTATGTATTTGTAAAAGTACACACTGGATATGAACTTCCTATAGTTTAAAGCACTGCAAAAGATGAGCAGACCATATGGATACTGACTTACACGTATCACATACAACAACCAAGTGCACTTCAGTATCATAAGTCACATCAAAATGCTCTTTCAAACACTATCTTTTTTGCCCCTAGCATAACATCTCACTTCACAGTACAGCTCAGAAAATGCTTTTTATTTAAAATCTAACAAGTCACCGCAATGACCTAGTTCCAACAAGTTACCAGAGTTACTGAACTGACATTTCAACAAAGCCAGAAAATGAGAAGCGCTAGCTAAGAACAGTGTTCTCATGTTCTGCGCACTGTTAAAAAAGGCCTCGTAAGACTCATCTGAACATATCTTGGACATGGTACAACTGAGCAATCAACAGATGAAGGAAACACCAGGGACAAAAATTAAATACTCTATTTGCAGTTTCTTGAGAAGAACTGCTTCAATGAGAGGTGAACAGTTGCTATTCTGCAGCTTGTCTTAGCTGCAGCTAGGCCATTGGACAATAGGATATCAGAAAAGGGGAAGGGTTTCTTTATCTTACCAATTCTGATTTCTGACTCTTAATTTTCTTCTGACCCACCTTGACAAATTAGCAAAGGTTACTTATTAGTAAGACCTGTTTGCTCAAAGTTTAGAGTAGGTCTCAGCAGTGTTTTCTTCTTTTACAGGAGAAGAAAATGGTTTTGTTGAAGAAAATATTGGTTTTGTTATGCAGACAAGTGATGGGATTTTGTAAGTTGTAAAAAGAAGCAAAACTCCACAAAACATCTTGGTTGAGATCCAGAAGGTTTAAGGCCCACAGAAGAAGTTTACTGGGTTGAAATGATGTGCTGGTTTCGGCTGGGGTAGAATTAGTTTTATTCATAGTACCTAGTATGGGGCTGTATTTTGGATTTGTGCTGAAAACAGTGTTGATAACACAGGGATGTTTTCACTCCTGCTGAGCAGTGCTTGCACAGAGTCAAGGCCTTTTTTGCTCCTCAGCCCACCCCACCAGCGAGGAGGCTGGGGGTGCACAAGAAGTGGGGAGGGGGCACTGCTGGGACAGCTGACCCCAACTGACCAAAGGGATAGCCCACACCGTATGATGTCATGCTCAGAAATAAAAAGCTGGGGGAAGAAGAAGGAAGGGGGGGACAATCAGAGTGATGACGTTTGTCTTCCCAAGTCACCATTACATGTGATGGAGCCCTGCTTTCCTGGAGATGGCTGAACCCCTGCCTGCCCATGGGAAGTGGTAAAAGAATTCCTTGTTTTGCTTTGCTTGCATGCGCGGCTTTTGCTTTCCCTATTAAACTGTCTTTATCTCAACCCATGAGTTTTCTCACTTTTACCCTTCCACTTCTCTCCCCCATCTGACTAGAGGGGAGTGAAAGAGCATCTGTGTTGTGCTTAATTGCCAGCCAGGTTAAACCATGACAAATGGATATCCACAAAAATACTCATACAGTATCTGTTTGTGTGTAACTTTAGAAAAATGATATTTTTCAATGTTCAGCAAAAACTGAAATAAGAGCAAATATATCATAATTGCAATGATTTGACCTAATTCGTAGTTTCCACTACTGTTTACATCATGTTTTATGACCTGTAATGTTCTTTTAAATTAGAGTGTTTTCCCATGAAAAAAGAGCTAAAAAGTAAGTAGCTAAAGTACAAGAAATAGGTTAATTTTGTCTTGGTTTGGCATAAGAAACAAAATGGTTTAACTTCCTTCCTCTCACAGTGTACAGATAAACTTCACAATCATTGACAAAGACTCAATGACTGGTAGGTAATGCAACTGAGATCAATGGCTCATGAGAAAACTGAGATTTGAAGGAAATTACCTTTCTGGAGAAGGCCCGGTGTGGTAAATGGCAACCCAGGAAAGGGGGCAGGCTGTCTGTCCTCTGCCCCTGACGTAAATCAAATAAAGTCCTCCAAGTGTTGCCTCTTGGTTGGACACTCAGTAAAAGACATTCCCAATGCTAATCCATTACTTTTACATGGTATTCATGGGTGCACCTGCAAGCCTGTTGAGGATGTTGCCCATCACGGGCCTCTTAAGGGAAATTCCAGCTTTGCACTTATGGTCTGTGTGTTTTTCATATAAGCAATCATATAAATGGGATTGTAATGGAGCCAGCCAAACAACCAAG